AAAAAAAAAAAAAGACTGGCGCACCAGCCAGCCTCACAACGGCCTCCTGGCACCTACACTCTCAAGGAGCCCTGCCGCACACTTAGTAGATCTGTGCTGATGAGATACAGGCTCTGTGCCAGGCCATACAACAGTGAGGCTCTTGTCTGGTTCTGATTTATGCCATTTTCTCTGATCAGTCACTCGGGAGGAAGCTAATTGCCATGTCATGAAGTCACTCAAGCAACTCTAGGGACAGGCCGACATGGTGAGGACAGAGAGCTTGTGCCAACCACCATGCTGGAAGCAGACCCTCCAACCTCTGTCAAACCTTCAGATAACTGCTGTCCAAACAACAGCCTGACAGCAACCTCAGGAGCTACTTCCAATCAGAACCATTCAGCAAGGCAGGGAACAGGCACAGTCCCAACTATTAGAAAGGCTGAGGCAAGAGGAGCATGTGAGTCCAGGGGGAGCCAAAGGCCAGCTTGGACAACACAAACCCATCTCATTCCAGCAAGATATCTCAGGGGACTAAGCACCTCCTTATGCAAGCACAGGAACCAGGGTTTGATCCCTGGCACCACATGCCATCTGGGGCCCATCCCAGGGCATTCTGAGCCAGCCACCAAGACTGGGCATGGTGGTGCATGCCTGTAATCTCAGCAATGGTGAAGCTGAAAACAGGAGGATTGCTACGAGTCTGAACTCTGTAGCAAAACCTTGTACCAAATACATTTTTTTAAAAAAAAGTGCTATATGGCTGGGCATGGCCACACACATCTGTAGTCCCAGCACTCAGGAGGCTGAGGCATGAGGCTAGCCATGCATTCAAGGCCATCTGGGCTACATGGTAAGCTCAAGGCCAGCCCAGCCTGAATTATACAGCAAGACTCTGTCCCCAAAACAAAGACCCCAAAGATCTGTTATATACACATACCAACCTCCCCCCATGATGAATGCAATCATTGTTTCTGTTTTCTTAGAAATGAGGCTGCTGGGAGGCTACAGTCAGCCCCAGGAGATGCCATTTACCAGGTTTTCCAAGAGGCTCGCCCAATGCTTACTCTTATAATATTCTTTTATTTGCTTAGTTGAAAGACAATAAAGCATATCCCACATAAAACCTGAACTGCCCATAAAGCTCCTAAAACATATATAAAACATAACCCACATAAAACCTGAATTGCCCATAAAGTTTCTTGTAAGGATCCTAAGAGGCCCTGGAGCAAAGAGGCAGTAGAGGGTTCAGGGCTTCTCCAGTAGCAGAAGCTGCCCTTCAGATGCACAAACATCTCAGAAGCCTGACCTTGGTGGCTGCCAGTGCAGCTCTCAAGATGCCCAGACCACTCAAATGCCATCAGCCAGAGAAACTCACTGAGCTCCTTAAGCTTCCTGCTCCACAGCTCCAGGCCTCAGACCTGTCTCTCTCCTGGCCTGCCCTCTGAGTTCTGATGGTGGTACCCTATCCCATTCTTCAGGTCCATGCTGAACAGCCAAATCAATGGACCCTTCCCACCTGCATTGCCCAGGTTCCTAGGGCACAGAGCTCAGGACGTTTAGCCTGTTGCCAGCTCAGGGTGACAGACCGACCTCCCTCTCCAGAGCCCCACAGTCCTGGCCAAGAGATTGGGGATGCTAGGTCAGAATTCAGGAACAGGCTGCCATCTCCTCTTCTACACCCATCCACAGGGGCCAGCAACTCACCTGCTCATGCCCAAGCAAGGCCAGGCTGCACCTCCCTCTGGGTAAGAACCCCTGCAATGAAGTCTTAATGCACACGGGCCCGCCAGCCCTGGGCCTCCGGCTCAGAACGCATCCTGCCAGGTGCTCACTTACTGACTCTATAGCCCAGGCCTTCTGCATGAATCCTCTTGGCCATGAACTGTCCTTCAATCAATGCTCGAATCTCAACATCACCAGGGAATGCTGGGACCTGTTTCCAAGAAAAGGGGAACACAGTCAGGAAGGCTCAGTGTCATTTGTGTGTGTGTGTGTATGTGTGTGTGTGTGTGTGTGTGTGAGAGAGAGAGAGAGAGAGAGAGAGAGACAGACAGACAGACAGACAGAGACAGAGACAGAGACAGAGACAGAGACAGAGACAGACACAGACAGGCAGGCAGGCAAGCAGACAGACAGACTTAAACAGCCTAGATTTGGAACTTATAGCTGGCTTCTTCAACACATCATTCATACACACAAGCTCACAGCTTCTCATGCACACTACTTGGAGGAACCAAATGCATAGCTCAGCCTCAGGCATCCAAGGCTTCCACAATGCCTGTGACCTGGAATACATTACATGAATCTTGCTGATCACCATTCTCTTTCTTAACAAAACGGAAGTCCCAGTGGCCCCTATTTCTCAGCAATTAGACAACAGAGCCCGGTGTGTAGCTCACACTTGCTCAGTGAGAGCTGTGAGCTTATACTGTATGCCTCACTGTGGAGCATCCTTTACACTGGAGCTGATGGGCACCACCCAGCAGACTCAGCCTGCCTTTTCAACACCTGAGACCAAGAATAGAGTCTACCTTTACCAGCTCCTGCACTCTAAGCTTACCAGCCAGCCAGGAGTCTGCCGCTCTTCCCATGGTAAGCTGTGTCCCACACTGGAGGGCTCAACTACAGGCTCTCCTGAGACAGGAGTGTACCAGTCAGCCCCTGGGCAAGGCCCCAGCCCATCCACAGCTCTCTCCTCCAGCCTTCATTCTCTCCTTTTCAGCCACATTGCATGCTGTAGTTGTATCTCCTTTCTGGACCATGGGCCCTGGAGAGCTGGTGTCAATCATACCTATATGCTGAGTAAACAAAGGTCACTACCTTCTCCTTGAAAAACTAGAACTTATGTGCATAAGGGCATAGTAGTGCACACTTGTACTCCCAGCACTCAGGAGGCTGATGCAGGAGGAGCCTCATGAGTTTAAGGCCAGCCTCAGCTACATAGTGAGTTCAAGGCCAGCATGAACAAGAGTGGGACCACGTCGAGAGAGAAAGAGAGAGAGAGCAAGTGAGCAAACAAGCAGGCATATAGTATTTTCTTTCTTTCTTTTTTTTTTTTTTTTCAGAACCAGGGATTGAACTCAGGCCCTTGCACTTGTCAGACAAGAGCTTATTCTACTGAGCCATCTCCTCGGCCCTGGTATTTTCTTTAGAACAATAGAAACAATATTGATCCTATCAGAGGATCACTATGTGCTCCTGACACTCAGAGCTTTGCATTTAACTCAACACACACTGCCATGTCAGTCACTGAATCCAGGGCCAACCCGACCTAGCAGTGACCAGACAGAGCGTCTTGTGGATGCTCCCCTGTATTTACCGTAGTCACAGACATCTGGTGATGACTTTTGAGACATCAGAAAAGTCAAATCCAAGCCCAAGAATTGACTGATCTACCCCCTCACGGTGCCCAAGGGGTAAGGGGAGCACAAAATGAAGATAGTAGCTTTCAACTCAGGGACGATTGTGTTTAAGCCTCTTTCACCACCTGAAACCTTGAGACTCTGGGCAGGTCATGCAGCCAGGGGCCTCAGTTTCTCCACCTGTAAAGAGGGAAATCATGCCCAGGGGTAGTGAACTTAAGCATGCATGCTGCAGCAGACACATGGGGTCCTTTAACATGTGAACCAAGAGTCTGAGCTGTTTGAAACTTAGTGTCTGAGTCGGAAACCTCAGTATTCAGGTTAAGCTGCAGTCTTGGAACTTTGCAATAAATAAGTGGGTTTTGGGTTGCAGTTTGGGTATCCAGTCTCTAAAAGGTCTGCCATCAGCTGGGTATAGCAGTGCCAGATGGGCATAATGGTGCACATCTGTCATTCCAGCACCTGGGAGGCTAAGGCAGGAGGATGACTAAGAATTCAAGTTCAGCCTGAGCTACACAGTAAGTTCAAAACCAGCCTGGGCTAGACAGTGAGATCCTGTCTTAAAGACAAAAGCAAAAACAAAATGAAAAATATAAAATGTTCATCATCACTGGTCATACCTATCTCATAGTACTGATCTGAGAAGTAAAGGAAGAAAATACAAAAAAACACATGCACAGAGCCTGGGACCAAACAGCACTAGCTAAGTATGGGTGCCTCTCTGTCCTGGAGGCGCTTTCCACCAAGGAGAAATTTCTGACCTTGAGATCTGGGAGCTGTCAGTTAGTGTAGGATGCCGCTCGCCAAGAAGCGTCACCGTGACACTCAGTGACAGCAAGTAGGCGTTAGCTCAGACAGCACGTCCTCCTGGGCAGGGGAGGGTGGCCTAGGGGAAACCCTGATAACTCTGTACACTCAAAGGGTCCTATCAGTAGAGAAGTGGATGAATGAAGTCCCTAGACGCATTATTGATAGGAGACTGTTAAATTTAAAACTGGAATCAGGGTCGCTGTAATATCAATAATATACACACCTCATGGTTTTCTGCATTAAATCTATGACATCCGATTATTTCAGGGGTGATCTCCATTACATCAAAATAAAAGCCTAAAACAAAACCAGGGAGAAATTAGAAGTCAAAAACAAAAACTAGCTCCTCAACAGACTTAGAGAAAGGTGAAATGAGCTATATCGGTGATAAACAACTTTTTAGAGTTCCCCAGTGATCACAGCCAACTGTGACAAGCATCCCATAGGTTTGTCACTCGCCACCACTGACCCACGTCCATGCCCCAGGCCTCCTCTTGCTCCCCAGACAAGCCCTGTGAATGGCTCAGCTCCTTGTCTTCAACAGGCCAGAGGGAAACAGAAAGCTCCCTGGGATAGTTTTGCTTAGTGATTAACCTTTCTGCTCCCACCTGGAAGGCCAGCAGAATAAGCAGCTGCCTGATCCTAAAACTCAGGCAGGTTTGGTGGTGGGAATGCGCACTCTGCCAGCTCCAAAAGCCTGCCAGGCCCAGGGTGCCTTGCCCAGCAGGGGCTTAGGAAGCAGATACTGCAGCTGACAGCTGTGATGCTGTCCCAGGGGCTTCAAGGGGAAAGAGATGCAGCTATGGTCCGGCCTCTCACTGGGCACATGGACACTCTCACACCCCCACCCTCACTCAGATCCAGTGTCCTCCCCAGCTTGTGAGACCCAAGGAATAGAAGTATAGGCCACAGGGCTGGCCTAGACATCCCCATCATCCACCTCTGACCCAGCTCATGGGCCCAGACTGTGGGCCCCTAAAGGCGGCCACCGCCCCATTCCAGGCCCAGGTATTTCTAGACAGTCTACCCAGGTTGCCGCTGTTCCCCATCTCCGTGGACTGCAGTGCCTTAGAGAACTCGCTCCAGGAATGGGAAGCAGATTCATCACGGATCTTCTCTCTCATGAGGGAGCCATTTTTAAAGCTGCAGAAATGTACAAATGCTGAGCACAGGGTCCACAAGTTTTGGGAGGATCCCAGCCCAACGGGCACAGAGAACAGCGCACAGAGCTTCCTGTGAGAACTGTCAGGAAGTGGGACATCTTTCTTGTCACTTGCTAAGGCCCTGACACAAGCCGACAGGTTACATACTATGAACCACACACCATATCTCCATTCGATGGAGTACAGCTCAGATACACTTCAGGGTTTGCCCAGCCTCTATGGACAACCCCACGGTGTGAGGTTTAATGTGTGGTCCTGGGCTTAGGGGATTCCAGGTCGTGGATCTACCTCACTGAGTTCTACTGTCAGCAGAGCTGTAGGTCTCTGGGGTCTCAAGAGCCTGTATTGGGTGTGGGATCTATTTAGTAAGACTGGAATGCTCAATATGGTACCAGGCCGAACTGCACCTCCTTCCCCCTATCCAGGAGCTGTGCCAACCACATCTATGCCCACCACAAGAGTGCCATGTAGTGCTGCGGTTCAACTGGGTTGCAGAAGACGTGGCCTTCTAAGGCAGGCAAGGGCTCCCGAAGCCAGAGAAACAGGGTGTCGCTGGTACCCAGGCTGACCTGGCGAAAGAAGGGCAAAGGGAGTTGCTCAGGTTTTGCCTACAAACACTTCCTCTCTGCTAGCAGCAAGCTCTGCATTGCCCTTCTTTAAAACCTTATCATTTCGCTGCTCACCACTGATGAAACACCATTTCCTCAGGTACCTCTTCTGACCCTCCCATGCCAGGAGAGTCCAAAGTCAGCGAGATTTTGGCCATCAGGGATTCCTTTACTGACTTTCTAGCACAGATGACAACTGTATTGAGAGAACAGTCTGCGTAGTAACTGGCTCTTCAAATGACTTCCCTACTAGATGTGGAAGACATAGGCTATGTTTTCCTGCTCACCTGGGTAGCTCACCACCATCCGGCCACACATCTGACCCTCTGCCTCTGCACCCTCAGAGCTGCCTGTTCACCCAAGTGCACTGAGCTCCTAAGGCAGGAGATGCAGGCCACCACCCCTTGTGGGACCAGCAGACTTTCAGAGAAGAAGCAAAGGTATTGCTGAGGTCCAGCACCCTGGTCCCCAGGGAGGGAAGAGTCCGTTGGTATTAGAAGCCACCTTACCGCAATGTCACCTTCCTCCAGCCTCATGCCTGCCAGCGACGCTGAGAAATAAAAGGGTGGCTCTGGTTAGGTGGAGGCCTCAGGGGACCCATAATGCAAACCACAGCAAGTTTTGGACAACAGCACAGCCTCTGCCTCCCACCCAGCCCACAGGACCAGGCCAGCTGAGGGCTCAGGAGGCCTGGAAGACCACAGGGCTGAGGCTGGAGTCTGCCATCAAGGCTATAATTTGAGCCAGGGAGTCTCAACCTTAAAGGATGCAGACTCCCCCTCCACCAGGCACTCAGACATGCAGAGACCAAGAGAGCCAGGACAAGAGGTGGAAAATGCACAGGCAGAGACAGACCAAGCACGGAGCATGCTAGGCAGGAGAGCGAGGGGCTTTCCTATCCAGAAGTGCAAAAGGGAAGAGACGAGGTTATGCTGACTGTTGCCTGCCTTAGACATGAAGCGCACAGTGACCTTTATCTGTAAGGTTTGCTGATATGCTTAGCAAAAGAACTCCTGGCACACAGCAAGCACTCACTAAATGCACAAATGAGTGAAGGAGAATCAGGGAAGGAAGTGACACTCAAACTCTACTAGTGACATCCAGTTGGCAGTGCTGTCGGAGGCCTTGGATCCATGGACCTCACTTCTGCAAACCTACCCTGCAGCAATGAAAGGACGAGAAGGGAGGTGCAGCTCAAGGCTGTCTATGCTGCCCCAGCACTGAGAGCAATACCACCTCCATGCAGGGGGAACCAGTGAAGAAGAGCTGGCTCAGCAGAGCCCCACGCCAGCTGCACAGGGCTGCCCAGGTGCATCAGAAGAAACGAGGTGCACTCTGGGAGGCTGAGGCTTTTAACCTGAAACCCTGCCTGGGCAACTTGGCAAGAACCTCTATCTACCAAAATAAAAATTAACAAAAGGGCTGGGGATGCAGCTTAGTGCAAAAGCCCTAGGTTCAAGCCCCAGCACCACAAAAGTTTAAAGAAGATAAAGGCCTATGGACATAGCTCAATGGTAAGGCCCTGGGTTCAATCCACAGTGTCACCAAACAACAATCACAGCAGAACAAAAAACCATGGTTATTTATGTGCATAGGGGGACTGGTGAGATGGCTCAGTGGTCTAAAGCACCTACTTGGAACAAGCCTGGCAAAACACAGGGACTGCGGTTCAATCCCCCAGCACCACATGCCAGCCAGCCCTGCCCCCTGGTGGGCTGAGCGGGACACACACACACACACACACACACACACACACAAATAAAAAATTATGAGCATAGGAACAAAACTGTGAGCAGAGGTAATTTTTTGTTTTTTGTTTTTTTTTTGAGACAGGGTCTCAAAAATTATGTAGTTTAGGCTGACCTTGAGCTCACTATATAATCCAGGCTGGCCCCACAAACTCATGGGAGTCCTCCTGCCTTATCTTCCCAAATGCTGGGATTACAGGAGTGCAACACCATGCCCGGCACAGAGGCACTACAATTTTAACCCGCCCTTGTGTCTCTTTAGGAAAAGGACTGCTTTGCTGGGGGTGAGGAGGAAGCAGCAGGCAGTGTGCTGTTCAGTGTGCTGAGCTGCTCACCTCGCCCTTCTTGAGAGACCTGAGGACCTCAGGAGCCCCTGGAGGAGAAGAGGAAAGGCCAGGGAAGGAGACAAGGTGTCTGGACAGGAAACAAGGCATACTGACAGATCAGACAACAGGGCAAAAACAGAACAATGCCCTGGAGGAAGAGTGGAGCACAGGTGTCCTCTCAGAACAGGAACGGCTGGGTGAGGTGCATGCCTGCCTCCTCGAAGGGCCCTCAGCTGTCACCAGCAGGGAGCAGCTCCTGAAGGTGGTGGGGCCAAGCTGGGGTACAGACAAGGACTCAAATTTTAGAAAGGAAAGGGGACACCACCTTAGCCAAGAGGCTGGACAGGAATTCTTCAAAGTCCACAAGAACCCGTGGGCCCCAGGCACTCACCTGGGTTGTCTCCAGTGAAGGCCACCACTCTGCATCCAGGAGCAAATCCATAGCGCTGGATGTAGTAGGAAGAAATGGCTCCCTAAGGAAAAAAAGCAAGCGCCCTGCTGAGGTAAATCCAGCCTGCTCAGGGCAGCATCCCCACCTCAGGAACACGCAGGGTCCAGGTCACTGGAGCTGCAGGAGCCTCCTGCAGAGACTGGAAGAGTGGTGAGCACTGTCACTACCCAGGCACATCCCTCGGGATGACAAACTGCCAGGAGCACCCCACACAGGCCTGGCACCGCAGCATGAGGTCATCCCAGAGACCACTTGATTTCCAAATTGAGGTTGGTGAGAACAAAACAATCTCCAACTTTAGCCTGCTTTTGTAAGCTCTAAGTTCTGGGTACAGCACTGGAAAAATGAGAAAGTAACAGGACACCAATAAGCAAACTCAAGGCAGTAGATAATTTCCTCAAACACCTGCTTATTGTCCCAGCCACTGGATAAGGACAATCAGACTCACATGTGCAGAGAACAATGTGCTTAGGAAAATAAAGCAAAAATGGTTGGCTTGGGGGTGGGGACCCATCCAGGAACCACAGACCTCAGTCAGAATGCAGGTCACTCCTTGAACAGACCCATATTCTTAACAAAACAGCAATGAAAAAGAAACAAAACTTTTTCTTTTCCTGACTATACTTTAGTTCCAAAAGTTTAAAATAAACGATAGGACTTCCTGGTATCAGGAAGGAAAATTTTGCTCCAGCCAGCAAAATCTGAGCAGTTCCCATCAGAACAAGCCATCCCTATCCCCTGGGAAAACAAATGCCTTGGCCTAGGTTGCCCTGGGATTTAGAACCTGAGCCAGGGCTCACATGCAGGTGGTTCAGCTGGCAAAGTGATGCTAGGAGACAAGGGTAAGGGGTGCAAAGAATGAACAGGAAGCAGGGTGTGCAGGGTGAGCACTGTCACTGCAGCAACTGGTGACAGGTGTCCTACAGGCTGTGCACATCCTGCGCCTGCAGGGTCCGAGTGCAGACGCAGTCAGAAGCCTCAGAGTAGAAAGTGAGGAAATGAAAGTCAGGCAGGAGCTGCCAGGTGACACCTGGCACAACAGCTGGCAAGGAGGCTAACAGCAAAGACACAAGGTAGGGCTTGAGAAGGTTCTGGTATAAAATATATCTCCAAGTACTTTGGTATAGAAAACAAGACAATTATTTGGTGCTACCTTCAAAAATGACATGCCCAAGAGTAGGGCTCTTATGTGTCTCCCCATCACGTGCCACATGCATCACATGATGACACAGTTTTGTCCACCGGTTCTCTCTACCTACTCCAAAGCTCACTTCTCCTAGGTCTTTTCTTAGAGGCACACACTCTTGGCAAGAGCCTGCTGCCCTGGACAAAACTTGACTCAACTTCACAAGAACTAAAAGCCATGCCCAGAACAGCCACCAACCCCTTCCTGCCTTTCCGAACTGCACTGTCTGCCCACTGCTAGGCCACATGGTTCGCGCCCTGTCAGCTTCTATGCGACACAGCTGTTTATCCTCGGCTCCATGCACCAGCCCCATGGCATACCCTGACAACAATGGTTTTGCTTGGATTTTCTGCCTTGTGATGCCAAAGGCACTTTGCAGCATTATCTGTGAGAATCACATCTTAGAAGGTGAAAAGTGCTTATGGGGCTGAGGTTCCTGGGGGTACTCACAAGAGCCCCATTCTCCCGTGGTCAGTTCCAAGACTCTCTTCAGCCCTGGGGGGGTCTCTTCTCCCTTCACACCCATTCTCTCTCCTGTAGAGTTCTTTCTGGGTGTTCGGACCATGTGGCACCTGCACCCCAATACAGGGCCCAGTGGTGGGACCCAGCTCTAGTCCATTATCTCCCTGGGACAGCCAAGGGCAGGCCTGGCCAATCAGGGCACTTCTGGTTGTTCATTCTGAATGGACATTACTGGTCAAGTGTCTTTAATTGACCCAAGCCACCAGGCACAGTCTTAAGCACTTTAAACTTATTACCATTGACGGATTATTCACATTTTTTCAGGTGAGGAAGCTGAGGTACAGATTAAATCAATGCAGTTCTGGGCTGGTGAGATGGCTTAGTGGTCTAAAGCACCTACTTAGAACAAGCTTAGCAAAAGCACAGGGACCACGGTTCAATCCCCCAGCACCACATGCCAGCCAGCCCCACCCCCTGGTGGGCTGAGCTGCCCCCCCCCACATAAATAAATAAAATTTAAAAAAAAAATCAATGCAGTTAGTGGCAGAGCCAGGACTTAGTCCTAGACAGTCTGGCATCAGGATCTGTGTTCTGCCAGGCTCTCTAATACTTCCCTGTGTTCTATGTGCCTCAGGCCTAAGTACCTTCAGCAGTGGCTCCTGGGCCTAGAAGGTCAGCTTTGGGTATACTTAGTCCTTAGGAGTGAAATCACCCAGAGTTCCCCTTCACCATAAGTCAGGAATCTATACACACACCTGAGCCCTGCTATGTGCAAAGCACTGACCAACATCCTTTACCTTGACTTTGCCACTTGCCTTAGAGTAACCTGCAACCCTGTGTATGTGCCTGTGTGACAGATGGATGGACATGTGTGTAATGCGTGGCAGGGCTTCCAGCAGCCGCCGGGGCTGAGAGCAGACCTGTCACTGGGAGGGGACCTACCACCACTGAGCAAGATGGCACTGGTGACCCAAGCTTCTCTTCTAAATGAGGGGCACAGGCACTGAGGCAAGCCTGGGACCAGACCTTCTCTTGGATCTGTAACAAATTCATTCCAGAACCTGAGGAAGGAAGGAATAAAAAATAGAATCATTTGAAGAAAGAGCCGTTGGTGAAAACTGGCAGACAATTTTTCACACAAACTCACATGTTATTGTTAAACTTATTACAATTGACCAATTATTCCCATTGTTCCAGGTGAGGAAACTGAGGTACAGATTAAATCAATGCAGTTAGTGGCATTGAAGTGCAGTTAGTGACATGCATAGCAAGTGTGGGACATCCACATCCTCTTGGAGCAGTGACCCAAGGGGCAGAAGGCCACCCCCCACTATCCCTTACACACTCAAACACCATAGTGGCAGGAACTTTGTGAGCTCCCATGTAGAAGGTGGGGAGCAAAGTTAAAGGTCCCACAGTGCTGAGGAACAAGAACCCGTGCCCACAGGAGCAACGCTGTGACTGCCAGCAGTGCGAGCAGCCCTGGGGCAGGTGCAAGGAGCATTCCAGCTGCTCTGGGTCTGCTCTCCTAATATACCATGCATGAACAGAACCTTCAATGAACAGCTCCCTGCAGGACCCAGGCTTCTGATGCTCATATGTTGTGAGGGTCCCTGGCACCACACTGTTCCATGTGACCCTGCACGATGAGGCAGGATGACAGCCTGTCACTTCCAAGATTAGCATGGAAAACATCGAAGCTTTTGCTTGCCTGTCCCTGCCTATAACATCATCAGTAGCCCTAGAGGGGCCCACGTGCTGAGGCCAGGAGGCCACCCGCCTGCAGTCCCACACAGACCCTTGCACGGGGGTCCTCCAGCTCCAGTGGAGCCTTGGATAACAGCAGCCCTGCAGCCAGCTTGCTGCCACCTGCTGAGATCCGGAGCCAGTACTGCCCAGCCAAGCACTCGCACATTTCTGACCTTCAGTGAGAGGGTGAGAAAACAAATATGTGTGGCCCTTGGCTACTAAGTCACTTGTGACACTGCAAAAGATAACTAGTATCATCTCTTCTTGGCAAATCAGAGCTGCACAGTCAGCACCTAGCACGGTGGGTGGATGGGGCTGTTGCTGCCCACACGCAGTGGAAGGAGTACCCACCCACCCTGGAGCGTACCATCACTGTAGTCAATCGGGGAGTAAGAGCCAAGGAAGAGGGAAGCGGCAAAGCTGCTGACCAAAGAAATTCTCTGGAACAGAAACACAGTGAGAAATGACTTATTTCCACATTCCCTAATCCACTGAATGTTTCTGACCATGCATACAATGTGAAGAGTTCTGTTTCCTTTCCTTTTCTTTCTTTCTTTCTTTCTTTCTTTCTTTCTTTCTTTCTTTCTTTCTTTCTTTCTTTCTTTTTTTTTTTTCAGTACCAGGGATCAAATTCAAGACCTTGCACTTGCCAGGCAGGCGCTTACACCACTGAGATACATCCCCAGTTCTGTTTCATTTTCTTTTATTATACTTATTTGCTTATTTTATTTTATTTGTATTTTAGGGAAGGGTCTATAGGGTGTTTAGAGTCTCAATACTAGGTTGGACTCATAGTGATTCCGCCTATTTACAGCCAGCCTCCCAAGAGTCTCAACTGCTGTCTCCCAGTCTCAATTGCTGGCTCAGCATGCCCTGGGGGCGGAGCTAGCACAGCGGGCCTGGGGATCAAACCCCAGGCCCCTGGGCCTGCTTGTGAGCACTTTAATCCGCTGAGCTATTTGGCTGGCCCCTTATTTTATTTTTGAGATTGGACCTTACTATGTAGTCCAGGCTGGCTTTGAACTTGCAATCCTCCTGCCTCAGCCTCCTGAGGACTGGGACAAAAGGGACACACACCATTCTGGCTTTGAAGGCAGTTGGGGAAGAAAAGTGGAAGCTTTTAGGAAAATGCCCAAATAATGATGGAAACTAAGTCTCCTAGGTAAAAGCAGCAAGAACAGGCCAGGCGTATAGCTCTGCTGTGCAGCAGCTGCCCGTCAAGCAAAAGGTCATGAGTTTGATTCGGGTACCAAAAAAAAAAAAAGACAAGTAAGAACTAATTTCTGGAGAGAGCACTTTCTGCAGTTTCTTTCCAGCCATGAAAGAAAACTGCATGATCAGTGGAAACAAAAAACTAAAGCCTTGCAGGACCACTGCATATAGGGAAGCCGGATTCCTGCACAGGACATGGGCACCCTCACGTGTCGTCCCTGTCTGTGTTCCTTATGCAGGCACTGAGGGCAGACATGACCTGTGGCTACGGGACTCAGCATGAGCCAAGGCACTGTTGAGTTCAAGGAAAATTAAGTGAACGCTGCCTCTCAGAAGCCACTGATCCCAATCACATGCCAGAGCAGGACAGCCTGCAGGTCCGTGTACCTATCAGCCCACCACGGCCATGGGACTCAGGGGACAGTGCTCCTGTCTCCTCTCTCTAGCAGGTCACTTGTGTTCTACACACAATTTGAATGGGTTTTTTCTCTCCTCACAGATGAATGCTGCAGAACAATGTATAATCCTGACTCATTAAATAATGAACTACAAACTAATCTGCAGGATTAAAAATATGCTTCCGGCCATACACAGCGGTACACACCAACTATTTGGAAGGCTGAGGCAGGAGGATTGCAAGCTCAAGACCAGCCCTGGCAATTTAGGAAGATTTTGTCTCAAAAAGGGGGAAGGTAGACAAAATAAAAGCCAACAATTTATATAATGAATATGCACTAATATTGTTAAATAATTATCCAAAAGTATTATTAAAAATTATTCTTATAGGGGCTGGGGAGATGGCTCAGTGGAAAAAGTGCTTTCCTGCCAAGCGCAAGGGCCTGAGTTCAATCCCCAGTTCCGCAAAAAAAAAAAAAAAAATTATTCTTATAAGGTTTGGAAATGTGACTTGGTGATAGAATACTGCGTGGCATGTGTGAGGCTTGGAGTTCACCCAGCACCACAAAAAAAGAGAAAAGAAAACAGGCCCTGGGTGAGTTAATCATTTGCTTGTTAGAAAAATGCAATTACTACCCAAGGAGTGAAGCTACTTCTCTACCAACGTCTCATGCTGCCTTCCTTCAGCTACGCAGCTGGAAGGGAAGCTGGGTCTGTGAAGCAGGCTCAGGTGAACGCTTGCAGCCAGGGAAACAAAGACCAGCCCTGCCTTCCTCCAAAGAAACTCTGACCTATACCGGTCAAATGTCTCATCCTACCTTCACCCACCACACATGACCATGAGCACAGAAGGAGACTACAGCACCTCCTTGGGTGGTCTCAAGAGACATCAGGCCCTACCTCCACTTGACCCTGCCCTCACCCTCTGGTCAAGGTAGCCCTTGACTTCTCCTTCCCACAATTCAATTCCTCCCTCTTCTATGGGAACAGCCTGATGACAAATAAAGGGAAACTGAACAAACATGCACTACTTAATGGCCGGGGTGTCTTAAGAACTGGATACGTGGGCCATTTCACCACTGTGAACCAAAGAGTTGGACAGTGTAGCCACCGCACACCTAGCTATGGCTGTCCCCTCTGAGGCTGCAAACCTCCGGGCGCAACACTGCACCAAGTACTACAGGTGGTTATAACAATGGCATTTGTGTGTTGAAACACTAAGGTACAGATTTTTTGTCTCTACATTCTTTGAAACTTTTTTAAAAGAGAAATGATACAGAATTTCAAACCAAGATGATAGGAAATTAACAATGGTTATTATATTTCACATTGTTATCTTCAGAGTAGGGCTCAAATTACCACATATTGCCTTTGTATTTTTATATAAACACAATATTGATATCTTCAGAATATCTAAAATAAAGCTTTTTAAAAAACCAAAATAACCAACACCAGAAACTCAAAATAATATTTTCATAAAAAGTTTCTGGGGCCAGGGAGACAGCTTAGTGGCATACGCACCTGCCCGACAAGCATAAGGTCATGAATTCAACTCCCGGTACAAAAAAAAAAAAAACAAACTTCTGTATAGCAGAGCACACAACCAACAGAGTAAAGAAATAGCCAACAGAATGGGAAAAAATCTTTGTCAGATATGTCCTGGACAGAAAATTAATACCTAAAATAGACAAGGAACTAAAAAAAAAAAAAAAAGAGACTCCCACATGGAAGACCCAATAAAAAATTGGCAATTGAAATAGACACTTCTCAGAAAAAAGATGGCCAAATACATACATGAAGAAGATATTCATCATTGGCCATTAGAGAAATGCAAATTAAAACAACACTGAGATTCCATCTCACCCCAGAAAGAAAGGCTATCATCAAGAAATCAACGGATGACAAACGCTGGAGGGGCTATGGGGAAAAGGGAACCTTCTCCATTGTTGGTGGGAATGTAAACTAGTATAACCCCTGTGGAAAACAGTACAGAGATTCTTCAAAAAACTAAAATTAGGGCCGGGGAGATGGCTCAATACAATAAGTGCTTCCCTGGCAAGTGCAAGGGCCTGAGTTCAATCCCCCATTCTGAAAAA